GCATGACATGCTCAAGTGACGCATGTGACTCCCTCTACATTCCTCTACCAAACTATCATTTTGAAGTTAGGCAGAAGATGTCAGCACTGAAGAAATGTGGGGAGGAAGAGTGGGAAGTGTGAGATGAGGTAAGTACATTTTTAGAATGTAAGAAATAGATTTTCAGTATAGGAAAATTATAAATTCCAATACAGTACTTACCTCCTCTCACAAGATTAGGTAGAATCTCACATTGATAAGGAGGAGGGACCTGTGCGAGAGAACGACAGAAGTACCCCCTCAAAAGTATCCAAAGGATACCCCTGGAAATGAGAGATTCAGAAGACAAAACTGCACCATTTTTGAGTCAGGTATACTCTTTGCGCTGAAGTCTGAAGAACAGCCACAGACAGTATATGAAACTGATGAAGAGGAAACCACAATATGATGGAAATAGTGGAAGATGAACGTACTGGGTGTGGTCCACATGCCAGACTGCAGAATCTCTTCCACTGGACGACAAAGTAAGGAAAAAAAGTGAGGTATTGGATCTGATGAGAGGACACCTGGAACAAGTTTCTGGAGGAAGAAGGTAGGGAGGAATAGTTCAATTGAACCAAACAATGGACACAATTGGTAAGGGTAGAAGGTGAAAGATCACAAAGGGTGAAGGATTGCCAGGGAATAGAGAGTCGTGAACATGTGTCCCACAAGGAAGCAGTATAGGCAATATAAGAATAAAGAGCCCTGATTGGGCACAGAAGCCTATCCAGATCCAGTTGAATGTAAAGATGAGAAATGTAATGAAGGGAATAGGAGAAAAGGAGGAACCACCCTTCTGAGCTGCTGAGATCTTCTGGAGAAAGGAACAATCAGGATAAAGGAGAAGACAGGTAGGGAGATAAAAGGTAAGTGAAACATCAATGGCAAACAAATCAGACTATCGACGTCCACAGGCTAAGAAAAGGAGGGAAAGATGAAACACGAAGAAAGTGGTTCAAACGGAGGTAAAGTAAGAGAGTGAAGGACCACATTAACATTCCAATCCAGAAGGGTAGGTTGCCTGGGAGGGCAATATATTTGAAAGGATAGCATGAGCATGGTAAGGACTGGGGAAGTAAAAACTCTATGATATCATGAAAAACAAAAGGTATGGGAAAAGGACGCCCGATATCCTGAAAGCAAGGAGACCAAAGACCCATTGTCAAAGAGCCAGGTGAGAAAGTCTGCCTCACGAGCCACAGTAGGCTGGTCAGCGGGAAACCCCCTAGTTGTAGACTAACGATGGAGTACTTTCCACTTGCATTGGTACACCTTTATGGAAGACCTTCCAGAAAACGAGGGGGATCAAAGGACCACGGGTATCGAAACATGGTTTCTAGCATTGTAAGTCTGCAGACATACCGTCGTGCCACTGGGGGGCGACAATCTGTGACCAGATTGAAAGCACCCGACACAAGACAAGCAACAAGATGAATGTGATGGGCATGGGGCCAGTATAAAACAAAGATCTCATATTTTTGTGATGGATATAAGATTGGTAAAATTGATCCGTATAGTGTTAGAAAATAACAAATAGTTTTCCAGAAAAAGAAAGAAACAAACAAATGTCTAGATATTCACTTAGGAGGTTAAAGAGGTTAGGCACATGAAATTTGAAAAATGAATAAAAGTATTTTTAATGTTAACATGAAAATTACCTTGAAATCACACTAGTCATAGTCAGACATTGACTACACAAGTTCACAGACAAATTTTTTAGTTATTTAGTTAATGAAAAAAATTTGATTTTTCGTGTACAAAATACTTGGAACATTTACTAAAAGCTTGCAAAATTTCATGAAGATACAGTTACTACATTCAGAGTTACAATATGTACACTTTCAAGGTTATCTGTTAGTTACACAGTGTTTACAAAGTCAGTCATTTTGACTGACCCAGCATTGATAGAATTACAGTAGTTTTGGTAGATATGTAATGCTACTTAGATCATAATTTTTATTTAATCCAACCTTTTCATCTTTGTAACATAAAAACAAACCTTGTATTTGGAATAAAAATATTTGATCCTGGATAAAGAAATGGTAACGTATGTAAACAACTTGCTTCAAATTGAGAACCATAGAGTGTGAAGCTTACCTGCATACTACAGTTGTCAATAATCATGTTATCGAACTGAATGTCAGAATATTCAGCAGCTACTTCCTTACAGCACTGCAGAAAAAGACCATCTGTTAATTTCCTATAAATAAATAAATAAAGAACTAAATTATGGGGAACCACAAAAGTTTGTAATGAGTACAACATTTTTAAAAATGAAAATATTTTATGTGCAAACATCTTACCTGAAAATAAAATTTATGGCCAAATAAAAACACCCATAAATCAGGTTTTGGTTATTCTTATAAACTATTTTTTTTTTACACAGACCACTTGGTTAATTCATAAATGCAACTTAAATTAAAATGTTAATAACACTAAAAAATAGAGAGTAAAATTAATTAATTGCTTTCTGCATTTTAAAGTGTCTTCTAGTGACATATTCTAAAAGTCTATAATATTCTTCTTGTGATATGTCATTTCAATACATAAAGTATCAAATAATTTAAAGAAACTGAAAGAAAGATAGATAGATATATGGATATTTCTAACAGCATTAACTAATATGAAATTTAAATAGTTTCACTGAATGAGAAAATATTCAAAAAGTTTAAGTGAACCAAGAAATATAGGGTCTGTTTGTTTAATATATTTCTTTACTTAGCTACTAGTGAACCCTGGTAACAATAATACAGATTCAACAATCAATCACAATGTATATGAAAACAATAAAAAACATGGAAGAACTAGTACGGAAACACACTAAACTGATAATGATGTAACATATAGAAACACAGACATTCTACATGATTAAACCTTAGTCTGTAAAGAGCATTCACTTTAAATTCACTAACCATCATTTACCACTAAAACATAAGAATGGTAAAATAACCAAACTAGAGATGAATACAAAGTCATGTGTAAAAGAATAATGTATAATGTAGCCTCAGAAAATAAGGTCCCAGTAACAAGCCTTACAATTCAATGGAAAACAAATATTAACCCTATGTGCACAGCTAGGTCAAAATGTGCATGTCATGAGCATGACCTTTTACAGTTATATTCAAAATTTAATTAAACAACCTTATTACCAATGTATGTTAAAACTGATATTAAAACATTGTTATAATTCCAAGTTTTAATTTCTTAACTTCAAAAGAAAATATTTAAATAATATTCTTAATCTTGACTTCTGTGTGACACACAACACATCCACCCCGGGTTTCTCTTATTTTAAATTTTTTTCATTTCCTTCTAATGCCTTCAGAGAAGCCAATCAATTAGAAACTATAACTATAGATATTGGCAGGCCAGAATATAAAATTTAAACTTCACACCTTGTTGAAGTACTGAAATATATATTTGAAACCCCCACATTTGGGGCTCATTCCATCTTGTCACAGATTTGTATGAATTTTATTTCTTTTTCATGCTCAGTTGTAGACAGTTTGCTTCAGATATTTTATGTGTGATTGTCACTGTTGAGCTCTAAGCAGCTAATAAAATCTTCTTAACCTGTATATAGCTTAATTAGAAAGTCAGTAAAATTACAATAGTTTTGGGGCTTTCAATTCAAGTGCCTGATATATGTTTTGTGTTTCGAAACATTTATCTAAAAGCTCCAAGAACTGTTATTTCAAAAACTAACTTAGGGAAAAAAAGTGAGACCTAACTCAGTTACAGTTTGCACTCACAAAGATCATGCAGGTCATATAGTTTGTTCATGATGTTTATGACCCATGGCTAAGTGCTCAAGTGGGTTCTAAATACAACAATAAAACCATACATATGTAAATGCTAATAGCTGAAACTTTGAAGAAGTACATGAAACATGGGAAATTATGCATCAAAAGGAGAGAAAAAAAAGTATTGTTCATTTCATTTTATATGTTTGCAACTTTTAATTTTACAGTACACCGATCATGATTGATGACTTAACTACAGTTAATGTTACGGTAGACAAAATTGCTGATGAAAGACAAAGTTTTAATGAAAAAACTTCTGATGTTTATTTAGGAAGTCTTAGAAAGTAGGCAAATGAAATATGAAAACTGTATGTGGAAAAAAAAGTATTTTCATTCTTAACATGAAAATCACCTTGTACTCATACTAGTCAGTCTGTTGACTAAGTAAATTCAGACAAATCTTTAGTAAAAATACTTTATTAAAAAGCTGACCTTTTTTGTACAACACATTTGTAATGTTTATTAAATGCTTGCCAAATTTCACATAGACACATATAGTAGATTCAGAATTATAGTACACATTACTTCTCCAATATGGCATCACTCTAACAGCTTAAATAAGGCACATATACTATTTAAAGACACACAGAGTGACATGCATTAAATTGTATTTCACTTTCGGATAGATTATGTGTGTGTATATATAAAACAGCAAGAAGATGGAACAGAAAACAACAAGAGAAGGTTGAAACTGAAAATAACAAGAAGATATTGAAACAGGAAACAAGAGTAGATAGAAACAAATGAAAGAGGGCACCAGACTAGGTACTTTGATACAACCAAGAGTTGTTAGTGCAATTAAAAACATACACAAGCAATGCACTTACGCTAGAGTGTCCATTAAGTTGTTTTCAGGCTGTTAGATATACACAACTATTTTAATTTAAGTATAGCTCAAGGGTTAAATTTTGTTATTTTTAAAAATGATAGTTTATCAGAAGCTTGTTTACAAATGTTGTATTGTAATAACAGAGCAGAGAATAATAATTTGTCTTGTGTTCTAAAAGTAACTGAACCAGCCTGTGCAGACTTTGACAAAAACAGAGAGGATTAGTTAAAGCTCTTGATAAAACTGTGGTAATTAGCTGTGTAATGAATATTTGTATATATGTTTGACTTGTTTTAATATATTATTTTAAAACAAGTGGATTGTGTGCTGTTTGTTTATTGTTGAAATTTACTGCTAACACATCACAAACACTCACTGCAAAGAATCTGGCCTTTACATACTTGCAAAACCTGGATCAGGCTCTCTAGTAAACATACTTATATAGCTATACTAACATTAAAACACCATGAAGAGTTCAGGAAAACTTGTGTTCTTGTCTAATAACAATGATATTCATACTTGAAAATCAAGTCTGATTCCCCAAAGTTTATAAATAACTATTGTTTTTTTGGTAAACATAAATCATGCATTTGTTTTGAAATAACAGCTAAAAAACAGTGCATATATTTCTGCAGGTTATCTTAAACTGTGAATGATAGATATAAACTATTGCTACTTTTCTCACTGAGCAATCAAACTCTTTACTTAAAACAATGAATCATTAGAGAAATGTAAAATAGTGTTTGTCGAGAACAAGAAGCTTAGTTTTTAAACACAGAATCAATCAAATATCATAGCAAGTTTTTAAAGTTGTGATTTTCATTAGTTTGAAATGATAACTAAGTTATTAGTAAGGTTAATGTTACTGATGGCACTTTCATAATTTCACATTACTATTTTCATTATGTTTGCAAACACTCGAGAATTACCAAAAACATCAAATCAACAGTTTATTTTGTATTAATAAATATAAGTCCAGTAAAATATGGAAGCTTAATATATCTAATCCAAATAAAGTATTAACACAATTGCAATAGTACAAGTATAGCAAGTAAATATGCCAAACATCATGGAAAAACACACTGTGTCTCTTACAAGTAATTTGTCAGATTAAAAGTAATCTCAAGCTTTTAATCCATATACAGTTTGAAACATTTTGGGCTGCTAAAGTACTGATAAAATTCCAATTTTTATTTTTAAGCATCTGAATTTAGGTGTACAAATATAAGAAGACATTTCATGCTCATAAAGCTTTCAAATTATTCAACCATTTGCTTTAAAATTAAAACTTAAACACACTTGCTTTTAAAACACTTTAGAGTTCATATAATAATTAAATCATAAAGATCATATTTACTACTTACATTATGTTAGCTTTATGAACAGCTGTTACTTTCTTCCTGTTGTGTTGTTGGGCATAATCAAATGCATATCTTGCAATCTGTTCAGACTTCTCTCGTGTTATAATCTTTAAGCTCTCCACCACTCCCTTTACATTCTTTACAAATCAAACCAAGACTATATTTTTACAAGTGCATATAATATAATAATTGTTAATAAATAATAAAATATATATTTATAGTAAGAATACATTAGAATTCTTACAAGTCATTAAATACAAATTTATAAATAGCATTTATATTACATTCCTAGAGCTGCTTTGTTAAAGCATTTATGTGAATTCCATTTTCATAAATGTTTTACTTCAAGTTCATCAAACAACAAATTTTAAATAATCATAGATAGTATGAAAATAAATAATTATGGGATTAATTTTACAGACAACAAGCTGCAGTTTAAGACCATGAAACCATACATTCAAAGCAGACATTAGAGGCTACTGTAACTTACCTCATGCTCTAAACAACTGTATTCTCCTTCAGTATTTTGACGAATCAACACAATATCAATGTCTCTGTGTCTTGTTCGAACACCAGGCTGACTTTGACAATGTAGCACATTAGCAAAAAGGCCTAGTTGTAACCTTCAAAGAAGCATACAAGTAGTACTAAAATCAGTCCAGTTTCATTTTAACCAGCATACACTTAAATCAATGTATAGTTTCAAAGTTATAAAAAACACTTTTATTTTAAACCTTCATCTCCTCACTCCAATTAAGTGACAAAACTAATAACTTATCAGAATTTCTATAACCATATATAACCACAACAATATTATGTCACAAATGCATGTGCACCATATTAATTTTTATATATTTTTTTTTTTACATAAAAGAAACAATTCTTAAATGATATGACATCTATTCTCCAGTTTCTCCACTTTTTAAAATGTTTATTGCAAACAAAACAGGAAGATCATAATGAATAGAAACTTTTACTTGGAATAAAAACATTTATTTTAATATGTGTGTACAATATAAATGGAATATATAAAATTAGAAGCAAAATCATTAAGTACAGTAGTATTTAATAATAGGGCTCATGATGAAACAAAATGTTGACCATAAAAATTGCCTGTTTAAGACCATCTTTAAAATGTCTGAATGTTAACAATTACTATTTCACAGTATTGGCTGAGCAAAATTAAAGCTTATTATACCTATAAAGCTGCCTAAGTCTCTATAAACATGTTTGTGGAGGGAATTAAAAATTTCACTATTTCAATGAATTTTTATTTAAAAAAAAGTAAATAAATATGTGACTCTTCCAGACAACAAGTATACAGAAAAAATGATGAACC